GGGGGAGAGAGAGAGAGAGAGAGAGAGAGAGAGAGAGAGAGAGAGAGAGAGGAAAGAGAGAGAGGGAGGAGGGAGAAAGAGAGAGAGAGAGGACAGAGAGAGAGAGAGAGAGAGAAGGAGAGAGAGAGAGAGAGAGAGAGAAAGAGAGATAGAGAGCGAGAGGGAGAGACGGAGAGACAGAGAGAGATGGAGGGAGCCGTTCATCCATCGGGAGGAGGAGGAGCTCCGGCGCTACCTGTCCTGTCGGTGCAATCTGTTGTCCCTCTGATCAGCTTAGAAGCGTTAAAGCTTTCCAGCAGCGAGCACTGAGGCACCGGGAGGCAGACGCAGCGTCACGCCGCCGCTCTCGCTCATTCAACAGCGGCGGGGAACGCTACATTCCGCCCCCACCCATCTCCACCTCCCACCCACCACATCGTTTTCCAATGGATACCTGCAGGGCGCACGTCTGGGCGTTCCAGGTCCTGCTCCTCCTGAGTGCGTCGCGGGCTTCCCAGTTCCCCTCCCAGCTCCTGTAAGTATTTAATCCAATTGATCGGCTCTTTCCCTTTCTCTTGTCTTGTCTTCAACGGAGCCCTCCTGCGAACACGCTCTTGATTTGTTTTTATGAGGCGCTCGGGTGGCGTGGGTTGTCTGTCTGTGAAATCAATATGCGCGCGTGGGCTTGCAGGATGTCACCCACCTTTTGTGTACGTGCGCGCGTGTCTCAATCATCAAGTTGTTCTTCAACTTGTTTGCTGTGCAGCTCAACTCAGTGGGACTGACTGGACGCACACTTGTACTGTATTCAATATGATATGCTACAGTATTATAAAATGGATCATGGCTTTGTGCTGTGCTTTCATACCGTACACATAACGTATAATATTTGATTGATTGCTAGAAATCACTGGACCCTCATGGGGGTGCATTACACACGCAATGTTTTACGCATATGCTCTCCAAAATAATAACAATAAAGATAACCAAAAACGACGATAACGATGGATCATTGTAATTCATTACCGTTTAAATGGCATTTTCCCTAACTTGTTACTACTGGGATGAAATTGCGTTTGACAGACGGATGTTTTATGTGATGATCGTTATATAGCTTGTTAGATTGCTGCTGATAAAAGCCTTGACTTTTTCCCAGGTGAGATAACTTTGGATCGCCTACCTGCTCCCAAATGATCTCTTATAGTGACATTGTGGAGTTCTATTTCCACACTGCAGAAAGTATCACACATAAAGAAAGAGCTTAATTTGTTTTATATAAATAAATATTGTTTTTAATTATTCAGTGATGCTTATGTGAGCAACTTATACAAGCTGCAATGTCCTCTCTAAAAGGTATGGAAAATATTAGAGCGGAGGAATCCATTTGTTTTACAATAACGAGTATATTTTAATCAATCAAAATGATGTGAAACCAATTGTTCCACATCTCCCCTTCTATGGCAAGTATAACTTAAACTTAAAAAAAACTTCTATAACTTAAAAAAAATACACCTTAATATCACGCGAAACTTGATTTCAGTACGCATCTCAAGCAGTGATCAAAGTGTGGAACGTGGTACACGGCCTACTTTTAGTAGTATATATAAGAATCATTGCCAAGGTAAAGGTCAATTGTACGTATACGGTAATTTAAGGTCAATATAGTATATATATATATATATATATATATCTCTCTCTCTCTCTCTCTCTCTCTCTCTCTCTATATATATATATATATATTAGTATATAGCATTACGTAATGTTAATTGCTACAAACATTTTCTATTGTATTCAGCGTTTATTAAAGCTTTTTTTTAACCTCTTTTAATACACTTCTACATGGGCACCATTAGTTGCACGAAGCACATCAAGACGGTCCTCGATTTCTTGCCATGTTCGCTGTAGCATAGCCTCATCAATTGTGGCAATGGCATCAGTAATCCTTTTCTAGGTCAGTAATGTCCCTTATCTTTGTTCGATACACGATATCTTTAACATAGCCCCATAGAAAGAAGTCCAGGGGAGTGATATCTGGTGAACATGGCGGCCAAGGAATTGGCCCATCCTTTCCAATCCATCGGTCTGGAAATGTTTGATTGAGGAACCCACGAACATGCAGCCCCCAATGTGGTGGTGCAGCATCTTGCTGAAAAATGATGGTTGGTTGAAGGTCATTCAGTTGTGGTGCCACATATTCAGTTCTAAGGTCAAGGTAAACATTTGCAGAAATGGATGCCTCGTTGAAGAAAAATGGACCAATTATTAGATTGCACACGATCCCACACCACACATTCACCTTTGAGCAGCGTGATAAAAAAACTTTAATAAACACTGAATGCAATAGAACAAATCTGAATAAAATATCTAATCAATTTGGGTTGTTTTAATTTTCCTTTAAGTGCATTTGTCGTGTTAACATCGGCAAGAATTTGGGACAAATTCCAGGGCTCGTGCTGAGCCAACTCCCTTATATGAAATACACCCAGATAAGAAGCAGGTATACCAGACAGATGGGCGATGCTAAATTGTGAAGATTTGGGTTTTTTTTTTTTGGCTTGCCGTCAAATGTGGGTTAGCTTGGAGTAAACGTTTGATGGTGAGGGCCACCCTTTATTGGCCAGCTCATTATCCCCCCCAAGGTGACGCTGGTATCACAACATCTGTCTCTTGCTTGTGGTGCATTGTTTCCTCCTGTTTGCCCCCATTTGCTCTTCGTGCGAAAAACAACAACGATGTGTCTGACCCACTTGTCTTTAGTGCGCCTGTGTTCAATTGTGTGCTGCGGTTGTACCATAGGCTGGACTAATCAAAACACACAAAGAATACGCCCCAGCTTAACAGCAATTATTTTCATACTTTTTATGCATTTCTGAATACTTCTTAATCATCTACACCTTGCGTCTCTTTGCTTCACCTAATGAAATGCAATAACATGATACTGTTATTCAGAAATTTATATCAGTAGCATTTGTGCTGCTGGTTGAAATCAGCAGCAGCTAACCCCTAGCTGACCTGTACCCAAGGAAAGACCGTCCGCAACGTAATAGGAGATCCAGTAAAGGGTGGGTTGAAAATTGAAAATTCTTCCTCTGGATTGCGGCACTACAAAAGGTTTTGTCTATGCACACATATAGTAGCCCAGTGCTTGTGTTGCTTAAAATTACAGTGATGCAGTTGGAATCTCTCAGGTCAAAAATCAAAGGTTGGCTTTGTTCAGATTTCGAAACATTAGAAATGACAGAAGAAAAACATTCTACGACATATTTAAGTGGTAAGGATGTCTGCCTCACAATTTTGTGAATCCCAGCTCAGGGTACTCATGGTTACTCACAATTTCCGAATCATGTATGGTTCATAATAGACTCAAATTTGTTTTTAGGTGTGATTGTGAATGCTTACTTGTGGAGCAAACCCAGAAACTCAGAACTGTGAAGTAGACATGTTAGCCACTTGTCTACCATGATGAAGTTAACATCTGCAAAACAAAACAAAACAAAAAAACAAACACTGAAATCGACTTGAAGTCTGTGTTGCATATTTCAAACACCAATTTAGTTGTTCTTAAAGCAATTCCACATAGTTTCATGCTAATACAAAATGAGAGGAGAAGCACACATGGACGGACAATATAAAACTCAAAGGCATATATTCTTTATCCTCTGCAAAAAAGTAGACAATTATTGCAAGTTACTGAGTCACTTCGGGGTATATTCTCCCGCGGGTGTTTAGGTCATTTCCTTACACACGTTTCTTTCAGGACGATTCTCACGTCTAAGATTCTGACACACCCACCTAACTGCAGCAGGATGTTAGTCAAGTGGATGTTGGAAATACATGATTTAAGGGAGTAAGTTTATTAATAGAACACTGGAGAGGTGTCCACTTCCTTGGAAACGTCAAGTGTGTAACACAGAACTGTCTTCACTGTACAGCTTTTTGCAGTCCAACAAGTCCTCATTCCACTCCGCATTGACATACAAACTGGGAATATGACTAATTGTGCGGCTCTCAAATGCTAATTTGACATTCACAATCAGCACACTCGGGAGCATAAAAGAGATCTACACAGGTAGGAATAATTTAACCAAATCGGGGATCCCAAAAATATGCCGCAGCTAAGAGGAAGTCTTGTTGCCATGCTGTACCCACTGTAAGGCCCTGAAATGTGTCACACAGTGTGTGTGTGTGTGTGTGTGTGTGTGTTTACAGCCATTTCCCAAAATGCCCTTGCCTTTTAAAAGGGCCATATTAAGGAAAATTTATTTTTTAATGGCTTGTGTAGAAATAGCCCACCCATCAAGAATGAAATGAAACATCCAAGGAAATCTTTTGTAAGATACCTGCGAGCAAACCGTTATGTACCGTGTGATGTCATTCGGCATCTAATTTAAATAATACAATCCCAACAATAAGTTTCTTTGATCATGACGCCTTGGTTACTACGGCAAACACCAAGTCATGTCGAGGGTGCAGTAAATTTCAACCAAGTCGAGAGAAGTTATCGTTAGAGTTAACCATGTCCAGTCAACTTAAACAATATTGCTGAGCCACTACATATTCACACTTTCAACATTTTTTTTTTTCGTTTGGTAATGTGAGCCTGTCCTTCTAGTGACGGATTAAATCAGTTGTCATAGTTATTGCGCCTTATATCTTTGCATTGCAAACCTTGGATGTTGTTATTCTCTTTTTCGGATTGAATTAAAAGCAGAATCGAATTTTAATCATCTGCAGACTGTCTCAATTCGGCAAAAGTCAGAGGCGCAGGACTTTGGGAGACGCGAAGCTCAGACAATATTTACTGTATTTGTGTTTTCGTATTTGCATACCATACTCCTTTTAGACAAGCTACAGTATTACTTGTTCATATGTCAACTGTGTTTTACGGACTGAAATCTTGGAAAATTGGGTCCCAAAATGTACATACAAGTGTTAGGTTCGAGAAAATGCTCACCTTCCAAATTTAGAGTGCTACAGCACTCGTAGCAGGCTATATAAACCCACTTTTGCATGACTTTATACATTATGGTCATCTACATTTCTGCTGGTAAGTTTTAAATTTGGTTAAAACATGTTCGCCTCACAGTACAGTACGGAGGTCAAGGGTTTGATTTGGGGCTCCGGCCTTCCTGTGCGGAGCTTGCATGTTCGCCCCATGCCTGCGTAGTCCGGTTTCCTCCCACATTCCCAAAAATTTTGCACGCTAGGTTAATGGAACACTCTAATTGTCCCTCAGTGTGAGTGTGTGTGTGAATGGTTGTTCGTTTCTGTCCTGCGATTGGCTGGCAGCCAGTTCAGGGTGTACGCTACCTTTTGCCCAAAGACAGCTGGGACAGGCTTCAGCATGCCCGCGACGCTCGTGAGGATAAAGCGGTTCAGATAATAGATGGATGGATGGTTTAATGCGCAGTCACCAGCCAGGTCCTCACAGCCTTTCTAACACAGTCAGCATATAAAATGGAATTAAATAGTGGGCATCACAAAATGTGCTGTGGCTGCACATCTCCCGTACAGAATATACATTTTTTTTCATAAGGCAGACCATTCTGCTCAGTCTGCAGTGCTTGTTCATAACCATCTGGCTTTGGGAATTAAAGGCAAGCAGCTGTTTTGCACTGCAATTTGTTCCCAATAGACGCGCTTCCCCCCTAAACAATTTTACTTTGTGATTCTACTGCTACGATCAAAATGGTTTCCTCTTTCTCACCATTGGTGCTCTGTATATTTTCTACATATCATGAATCGCTGTCCGTGAAAACATTTCACTTCTGGCCTCTTGGTCCTGTTGTACACTTTGCAGCCTGCTCAGCTGCATGGAGCCAGACTGATATATTGGTCATCCACAACGGCCATTACGCTCACTCGGAAATATCCTGTGGGTGAGCATATTGGTTTTTCCATGCTTACTCTGCCGTGTATGGTGTGATGTACATTTGGGGTGTTGTGCAGCTTCGGCAAATGCTCAGCAATCAGAGCATAATGTACGGACATTATATCATTTTACTTGGTGGATTATTTAGATTCTGTCTGTTTATTTTTGTTTCCAAAGATGGCGATCAGCATTATCGAATAATATTCGATAATGCTGATATTCATTTAGATGAATATATATATATTCGACGAATATATATATATTCATCTAAATGATCATATCTACATTGATTGCTTGTTTGTGAGTACCGGTAATCATACTAAAGTCTGACTTTTATGTCGAGACTTTTTCTTTGCAGTTTTGCGAGATGGTGGTTCGGATTGTTTTACGATCCTAACATGCAACCACGTGGTGCAGTGCTGGTGCTATATTCGAGAAATGTTTTATAATGTTTGTGAACAATAGGGGCCGGGGTACTTCTGGGTGGCAGAAATGACAAAAAGTGTTTTGTGTTTGGAGTTGCATTAATGCAAGCGACCTAAGTTATTTCCAGCCCCTCTCTCAATGATGTTAAGCATGTCAGAATTTCCTCCACATCAATTTCTGAATCAACCATTTCTTTAATCAACTCGTCGACATAGCGATCATGCTTGCCGTTCCATATCCCTTGGAAACAATTTACTTTGTGTACCATCTTTTCAGATGACACTTTCCACATTCAAACTATCGCGGATGAAAGGATGACAATAGTCATCAATGAAGCCATTTATTCTTCTTTCTCAATCAGTCTGCCTTGGTCAAATGACACATAAGTGTTTACTTTTGCCACCCACATAAGTGTTTTTGTCTTTTGCCACCCAGAATGATGTGTAACATCATGGATTAAAGGTCTATTTTTCACGCCTTTCAGATATGATGTCCATAGGGCTCTTATAGACAAGCACATGAGTCTTACCTTTCCCTTTCCTGGTTCGCTCACTCACATCACAATCATCATCACTGACATCAAGCCCATTTGGCCGCTTCTCCGGAAATCGCCTGATGACACTATTGAACGCTGGTCCTTTCAATCAGATTGACTGACCTGTTTGGCGACGCTTCATCCAATGAATCTCTTGTTTGTTTTGATGTCTCACAATTGAGCCGCTTGCCATTGCCTATACAGGGACTGGCATGATTGACAACTTAATAGACCTTTTCTCCAACAAGTCACACATACTTGCGGGTGGTATAAGCGCTGATTGCGCCACTAGTAAACAAACCCTAATAATCAATTGCCCACTTCAGTCAACAGAGCTTCCTTAAACCCCTGAAAGTAGCTGCCATAAAGACATAAAAAAAGACAACGCTGGTTGCTTCGCTTTGAGCAAAGTAGAGACCCATCTCAAATCTCTCCTTAATGCAGCCATTTCTTAACTCTAAATGGACATTGTGCCAGTTTACAATCAGGTTTTCATCCTCATCACAGTACAGAATAAGGTCTTATTAAAGTGATAAATGATACAAGGTTGAACATTGACTCAGGAAAGGTGTCAGTTTTAGTCTTGTTGGATCTCAGTGCACCGTTTGAGACGGCAGCTCATCATGTACTGGTGTACAGGTTCGAAAATTGAGTAGTTTTAAATGGAACAGTCATAAAATGGTTCAGATCCTACTTGTAGGAGAGGAGTTATCTGGTGCCATTTGGGAGTATTTAGTCTGATTGAACGGTCATGGCAAATGGCGTCCCTCAAGGGTCAGTTCTTTGACAATTTTATTCGTCCTGTATATGCTTACACTTGGGTAAAATTGTTCAGAACTCTAATGGTGACTATCATGGCAGATGATACCCAGTTATATTGAGCAGTAACCCCAAATGACAACAGTTGTTGCTGTCTAAAACAAATGAGTATTTGGAGAAATAGCATGTCCTTCAATTCAACCAAAAACAAAACCAAGGTTGTTGTTTTTGCAATTAAAAAAAAAGAGGATGCATTTTAGTAAACACTTGGATTCACCGTCTTTGAAAACCAAAGACCTCGTCCGAAACCTTGGTGTGCAGGAAACCCAATCTACTATGATGCACACTTACACAGTGGTTTGGGCATCACCAAAACCCGAGCAGTGATGAAGGGAGCACCAAATATGATGTCATTTGGATGTAAGAATTATGTTTTCGATGCAAAGCAACAAGCGAGGCTTTCCACTCAAACATGAATGGTGATGTCTAACCCTCATTAGTTTCGACAAAACCCACATATGCAAGCTAACATTTTAGCTAGCTGATAGCTGGTCAAACATTAACTAAATTTCATGTTGGTTTTGCTTTTAATAGAGAATAAAATAAAGTAATAGATGATACAAACACTGGTTTGGGACTATTGAAATAGATGTAATAGTGAATGTATAATGTGAACCCGAGTGCCTATTGTTTACAAACATTATGGAAGAGCTGTTAGACTCCGGTCCTTTCAATTGTATCGGCCAATCTGTTTGGCAACACCTCCCCCGATGAAACTCTTGATGTCTCATGATTGAGGAGCTCGCCTGTCGCCGACTGGGCTAACGTGATTGACAGTTTAATTGCACTCGTGATGTTGCCTCTGAAGTGGCTTAACTTGGTCCCTGTGTGTGTGTGTGTGTGTGTGTGTGTGTGTGTGTGTGTGTGTGTGTGTGTGTGTGTGTGTGTGTCTGTCTCCTGTATGGCAGGATTAAAGAATGGGTTGATCAGATGCAGAAAGAACTCATCACTCTGGCCGACACCGCCACAGCAGGCAAGAGTCTCACCCAGGTAAGACCAAGCCAATGATGGATAGTTAGCACCTGATCACTGTGGTGCTTTGATCTTATTGAAATTGCTTTGTATGTGGCAACAAAATGGCTGTTCAGGGTGGTTTATTGTTCACCAAATATTTGCATATCCTGGTGACATTTCTCAGATGATAGTTGGCCAATATACAAAGCTGTCTAAACTTGGCTACTTAGGGCCTAAGCATAGAAGTGTTAAAACCATATATGATCCACTATTTGACAAAAAATGCTTAAGGCAAAAATATTCTGATTTTAGGTGTCCTTGATGTAACCCCCATTTCTCAGAGCACAAAAAACAACCAATTTAGAATCCATTTGTAACTGTAAAACATTTTTCAATACAATGCCATTTCATGTCCCAGTGAACAGGGCGTTTGCCCTTTTGGTTAGAGTGACAGTTTTTTTGGGGAGGGTGGGGTGGCGAGGGGGGTGTTATAGTGATATTTAGAGTTTTAATTTCATCTCAAATGGAGTCAACTTTGAGATTCTGACAGTGTACACAAAAGTGTACGTGTGTGTGTGTATGTCTGTCAGGTTCTGAACTGAACTGAATAATGTTTTGTATTCCAAAAATGCAGGCTCAAAGTGCAATGCCAAAAACAATGCAAAAAAGTGCACCAACAAAGTACAAATTGAAATCACTGGTCACAAGGAGCACAGAAAAAAAAAACAATGCATAAAACAAAAATCGCTTGCAAAGGCAAGTTACAAGAAAACACTGTGAATACACAAACAAAATATCACAAGTCCAACCACACAAAACCAAAGATCAAGATGCATAAAAAGTAAGAACGAAAATACAAAGTTCAATGACAAAACGAGAGCGACTATGAAAGGTAACACAAGATCTAGAATACAACACTTGAAGCGCAACAGTGAGCAAGGTCAATAATCCAACAAGAGAATAAGTATCTTGGCAGTCCTTAAATACATGGCAGGCTTGATTGGTAAATGCGGAACAGGTGGGCCTGCTGGAGGGAAACGCCCTTCCCTCCAGCTGCTGCTGAAAAAACAAACACACAGACATGACAGTGTGTGTGTGTGCGTGTGTGTGTGTGTGTGTGTGTGTGTGTGTGTGTGTGTGTGTGTGTGTGTGTGTGTGTGTGTGTGTGTGTGTGTGTGCGCGCGCACGTGTGCAGATTTTCTTAAGGAACAAGCACCTCTATAGTGTGGAGCAGAATGACGCCGAGGAGCTGGTGGCCAGAGCGGCCATGAACATTGAACAACTGTTGCGCAAGAGGTCAACAGCCTTGGAGGTAAGACTGGACGCACTGCACCAAGTAAGCATCTGTGTAGAAGTGTAACACTGGCTTGCACATGCCGACATCTTTACCAACGATCCCTACTGTTTGCAAAATGACATATTGCACTGACAATGGCACTTTCCCACGGGCAGTAAATGGAGTACGTCATGAACTAGTTGCCAGCATATTGCAAGGCACCCATAGACAAATAACCATTCATACTCACAATCACAGTTTGGGACAATTTAGGCTGCTCAATGGTGCATGTTTTTGGAAGGCGGAGGACCCGGAAAAAGCATACTAAGGTACGGGGACAACATGCAAACTCCACGCAGAAAGGGCGGAGCCCGGATTCGAACCCTGGACTTCTCTACTGTGAGGCGGATGTGCTAACCAGTCGGACACGGTGCTGTCGGATTAAAACATGTTTCTAGATATTTTATCAATCACTTGCACCTCTGGAGACTGTATTCCACCGAAATTCCCTTCAGATGAACAACAACAAAAAAAGGGTTCTGTTTTTGACAAAAACCTTTTAATTTATGTACATGCTGCAAAGCCTGCTTCAGTTTTTCCGCTGTCGTCCATTGCAATGTTCCGAGGTAGAAGCACGCCTACCATTGTACAATAAATATTCATAAAGTGTTTAAAAACAATATTTAGACGAAAGAAATAACTGTTGTCACTTCCTTGGTAGGGGGCTCTAATGACGTCAATTTAAATTGGTTTGTATCACGTTCATAATTACATCTATTCAATGATTTTCAACAAATATCTCGACATGCTTAATGTCTTATTTCCCCGAATATCCCGTTTTCAGTCTCAAGCAATGCCATCTGGCTTCTAATTAACTGAATCATATGTTGAATTGTTTGACTGGCTGAGCGTTCACGGTCCCAAGGGACACTGAATGGGGTTGTTTGCTTTTTCCTGTGATAAATAAGCGCCATTGTGCCCTAAGAGAAAGCCGTCGCACTCCTCCATGTTGTAATAATCCTCAGCAGCTAGCGTTCGCCTGCAAATAAATAAACATTATACTCAATTACGATGAAAGACTCACAGTAGGGAAGAAAAGAAGCATCTAGGATGGTTAACACTTACTTTTCGACTGCATCTGAAGCCAAATTAATATTTTAGTGGAAGTGAAATACAAATGCAATAGCCCCAAGTGCCAGAGGTGACTGTTACCTTATTTCACATTGAATCATAACAGAAGTTAACATTGTAATTTATCGGTGTCGGACTTTGCCTAAATGAGCCTAGATGGCAAGGATCAGAATCAGAATCAGAATCATCTTTATTGGCCAAGTATGTAGAACACACAAGGAATTTGTCTCCGGTAGTACGGGCTGCACTCGTATCATCATAATTAAGAGCATGACAAATAAGTATGGAAAGACATTCGGAATGTAAGGGTACCGTTGTGCGGTCGTACCACCCAATGACAGCTGTGAGACAATGTGCAAAGTATCAAGCAGAGCTAAAGTGATCAGTGGTAAAATACGATACTATAACAGTTGTACAGTTGGTGCAGAAAATCATTGCACCATTTTAAAGTGACCAGTAGCAGTATTTGTGGTACAACAAGTGTGCAATTATGCAGGTGTCCTTGAGCGATTTAAAGTGTCTGGTGCTGTGGAATACAGATCAGTGACAGTGGTTCAAATGAGTACAGAGCTGGAGCTGCAATGATTATCGCGGTGATGCTGTTCCACAGGGTTGTGCAAATTTGCAAAGAGCCACTATCCAGGTAGATTTGGATTACTGTTTAGGTAGTTAATGGCTAGAGGGAAGAAGCTGTTTGAATGTCTGCTGGATTTGGTACGCATGGATCGGTAGCGCTTGCCCGGGGGGAATAGCTGGAAAAGGCGGTGGGCAGGGTGTGGGGCGTCCAGGAGGATTTTCCGTGCCCTTGTCTTGGTTCTTGCGGTGTGCAAGTCCTCAAGAATGGGTAGAACGCTAGGAGAGCTTCCTAAATCCAACGGATCCAGTGGCAGATCGTTGGGGACACACCGAGCTGGATGTGTCCTCGGGAATTTGGCTAAATGATCCCCAAACTGTCCGTGGCAGTCGGATTTTGTCCTTTTTTGTTGCGGCTCCAAACCAAACCGTGATGGAAAAGCACAGGATTGATTCGATGACTGCCATGTAGAACTGTCTTAGCACCTCCTGTGGCAGGCCATGCTTCCTCAGCAGCCTCAGGAAGTACATCCTCTCCTGGGCCTTTTTCAGGATGGAGTTGGTGTTGACCTCCCACTTGATGTCCTGGGAGACTGTGATTCCCAGGAACTTGAAGGTCTCGACGATTGACACAGGCCAGTTGGATAGTGTGAGGGGCAGCTGTGGTGAAGGATGTTTTCTGAAGTCCACCATCATCTCTACCGTCTTGAGCGTGTTCAGCTCTAGGTTGTGTTGGCTGCACCAGAGCTCCAGCTGCTCCACTTCTTGTCGGTATGCAGACTTGTCACCGTCTTTGATGAGACCGATGACTGTGGTGTCATCTGCGAACTTTATGAGTTTGATGGCTGGGTGTGTTGAGGTGCAATTGTTTGTGTAGAGGGAGAAGAGCAGTGGAGAGAGGACGCATCCCTGCGGGGCTCCAGTGCTAGTGGTGCATGTTGATGATGTTGTTCTTTCCAGCCTCACCTGTTGTGTCCGTCCCGTCAGGAAGCTGCGGATCCAGTGGCAGATCGTTGGGGACACACCGAGCTGGATGTGTCCTCGGGAATTTGGCTAAATGATCCCCAATTGGGAGCAAGCATGATACATTTGTGACAGTAAATTACAAAGATGTTTTTAGCCGACACTATTTAATACTGGTGATGTAAATAAAATGCCAAGGATGGAATGTGAAAAAGAAAGTGCGAGTACTCGTCCGTCACTCTTAGCAGTTAGTAAAAGCAGTAACACATAAAATTCTACTGAACTGCCTCCAAAATAAGCTTCATTATACAAGTCATCTCAACATAAAAGCAGGGATGTAGTGTGATAATTAAAGCTATAACGCTGCAGAGGCTTTCTCTTTTTTTTTTTTTTCTGAACACAGAAGTGGGTCATTGATAGACGGTCATAAATGTGGTTGTGCATTCAGAGGGCCGCCGATAGCACACGTCTCTCAGCATCCCGACCGACGCCTTCTATGAAGTAACCTCCGCGTCGTTTTATTAGTAATGCAGACAGTCGCTTCATCAACACGTCTCCTGCCAAGTGTCTGTCTGGTGTGTTTTAAAAAAAGCAATGGGAACGAAATTGGCTCTGTGGGAGGGTAACATACGTTTTCAGCGGTACTTTGACTTATGATGACATGCTCGTGAACTCAAATCACTTGTATTTCAAATCAAATATGCCTGAATAACAGTACCGTCCTTTGTAATGTGTTTTTAAGAAAAATAGTGCTAAACACTACGCGGCCATAACATTTGCTCTTCACATACAGAAAATGCATGCATAAAACACGACTGCACTGCTATGTTTTGTCTTTCAAGTTTTTTTCTTTCGCTTCCTGTTTTTTGAAAACCAGCTCAATGGTTTATTACCGCCACCAACTGATATGGTCCTTCCACTGGAAAGAAACCAATCTGAGTTGATAGCGGCTGGACGTAGAATGACGTTTGCTCTCGCCATCTTACGATGGGGATCTGAAGTACTTGTAGCACTGATTTTTGCTTGTATCTCAAGACAAAAACGCAAAAATCCTCTTTATTGTGTGTGTGTGTGTGTGTGTGTGTGTGTGTGTGTGTGTGTGTGTGTGTGTGTGTGTGTGTGTGTGCCTGTGTGTGTTTGTGTGCATGTATGAGATTGAGAGTCAGACAGTCCAACTCGCCTCGAAACATCAATCACCTCTTGCTACTTATTGCATCTTTGTCTCCTGCCTGCCTTGTGAGTGACCTCTAGGCATAATAATTTTGCCTTCGGCATTGGCCGAGGAAAAACATAACTGGTTGAATGTGTTAATGGCACACACACACACACACACACACACACACACACACACACACACACACACACACATCCACACGTACATACACTCATCACACATCCAACAAGTCCATCTTTCATCGAGATGTCAACCTGTTTTTATTTCTCTGTCCCTTGGTCAACAGCACCAAACCAAGGCGACGGTTTAACCAGCCACCTATGTGTGGCCATCCATGTGTACTCATGTCTCCATAAATAAGTGTGTGGGTAGAGCATGGCATGCATTATTAATGAGCACTTGGCCGCACATTGCTATGAGAGAGAGAGCACAGTATCAAAGGCTTTATGATCCACGCCGGGCCTTGATAGCCAGCGGACAAGCGCATTTACACATTGTGGCCGTCACGGTGCATTACGCTTGACTGGCTGTGGTCCCGGTGATCTTGTTACTCGAGGTTAATGAACCAAAACACACAAAATTAAAGCAAAAGGGTTTGTCTCGGGCCATTACTCTACCTGAGGATCAGTTATGTAATAGTCTGAATCAAAGAAATCAAACTTCATGCGATAATATAAAATGGAAATTGACACTCATGTAAATTGAATTAGGGATGTCATGATGAATTGAAAATTGATTTAAAATCACTTTAAACTACTTAAAATATGCATCGATGAAAAGAATAACAGAATCAATATTGGGATTTTGATCTCAAAAGCAGTCAGTTATATCCATCCATCCATTTTCTGATCCGCTTTATCTTCACGAGGGTCGCGGGGCATGCTGGAGCCTATCCCAGCTGTCTTCGGGCAGTAGGCGGCGGACACCCTGAACCGGTTGCCAGCCAATCGCAGGGCACACAAAGACGAACAACCAGCCGCACTCACACACACACACCTCAGGACAATTTGGAGTGTTCAATCAGCCTGCCATGCATGTTTTTGGAATGTGGGAGGAAACTGAAGTACCTGTCGAAAACCCACGCAGGCACGGGGAAAACATGCAAACTCCACACAGGAAGGCCGGAGCTGGAATCGAACCCGGTACCTTTGCACTGTGAGGTTGACTCGCTAACCACTGAATCACCGGGCTGCTCAACTACAAAAGCATCCTTGCATCTATTAACATGAAGGCAATTGAGTTTGAGTAAAATGTTTTCTTAGCAAAAACAGAAGAAACACTATTATAATACTGTTGAAGTTTTGATGAAAACTACTTTAACAACATATTGTAAACACATTCGGCCATTCCTACATTTCATTTTCCAGTTGCAGAAGTGAGTATTTTGTTTTATTTTCTGAGGGTTCAGATTTGTTTGCCAAATGTGAGGCATTTCTTTTTTGCAGTGGACGACACAGAGAAATGAAGTGAGGCGCAAGGTCCATTCGAGTGAAGGCCATTTTGAATATACTGTAGTTTTCTACAACAAAAAAAAAAGACAACAAATTAAGGAGGGACTGCAGAATTAGGCTAGTAAGAAAAAATGATTCCTAGACACGAAAGCTGGAAGTAGTTCCAGTTCCGGAATGACAAAAACATAGATGCCTGCTAGCGATTAGTTGCAGATGACAATGAGAACTCAAACATACTAGAAAGGACGCTTATGACTTTTGGTAAAATTAAAGGATTTTAAGTGCGCCCTAAGGTCTGAAATAGACGGCAGGCAATATTAAACTTAACAAACACTTCACGTATCAGAAACTTCCCATTAGAAATGCTGCATGAAATTTTGTGCTACCCAAAAAGCAATGCATGTGTGAAGGTTTGGAGTAAACACCTGAAAAGGGGACAAGGTTGTTGCTCCAAAGTGGATGAACACACCGTGAATGTGAAAGCACGGGGGGGGAGCCTGATTAAAAATTAAATTGTTGGTGCTTCAGAATTCTGGCAAACTGATAAAACGCTTGACATACAGATAGTAGCTATGCATAGACACTAATTGGGCATTGCGCCGTACTTTGGACGTGCGTTAGTTGACAAATGGCCGGGTCTGCAACACCACTTAATATAAAAGCTCAAGCCACTGCAATAAACCACAGCTGGTATGAACTGTTTTGCTTTCAAAGTTACATACAGTAAATCACTATGACTATAAACATCATTTAAAGGTTTATGGCTATGTTCGGTCTACTGTAGATCATCAAGATCTAGGGCAAAGTGGTGATATAATACGAATATAACAACACACATATTTATATTACATCACATGTACTGCCCTAGATTTTTTTTTTTTTTTGTTACCGTTTCCAAGTGGAGTAGTGGATGCAACAACATGCATCTTGCCGTTTATGGCCTCACAGTTGTATGCACTATATAAGTTATAGTCTCGATGTGCAGGCGTATTTCTTCTTTTATTAAATGCTCGATGCTGATGCTCATCATTGATTCACACAATCCACCGCCAGGGAGATAAAGTTGGATTCAAAGGTAGACTTTACATTTGATGAGAAGACAGGACGTTTGTTAAGTGCAAGTCCAATGCGGTTGCAGTTTCGGACAAGTATTATTATTATTATTATTATTATGAATAATAATTATTTATTCTTTTCGCACAGTTTGGGATTTTTCTTTATTATATATAATATAATAATAATATAGTAATTATATATATATTATATTATAATAATTTTATATAT